AGGAAGGTGGGGTCCCCTTTAAATACCCAAAAGGGCTATGCTGAAGATCAAGGGACCTGCGTGTACAAAAGCCACATGGGATGTGGACTGTAGTAAGGAGGGGAAGACTGCATGAAAACGCTGGCTGGACCCAATACGATGTCTCTACATTTTGTCAACACACCTCCCCTATTTCATCTCTCTAATTTACTCAAGCAAAGAAGAAAAGACAGGCCCGGCTAGCCTGATCTCATCAGATCTTGGAAGCCAAGCAGGACCAGCTCTGCAGTATTTGGATGGGAGGCCACCAAGTGACACTACACAGAGGCAGGCAATGTCAAACTGCCTCTGTTAGTCTCTTGCTTTGAAACCCCTAGGGCAGTGGAGGCGAACCTATGGCATGGGTGCCAGAGGTGGCACTCAGAGCCCTCTCTGTGGGCACGCGTGCCATCGCCCCAGTCAGGCCCAGACCATCAAGAAGAAGAAGAAGAAGAAGAGAAGAAGAAGAGAAGAGATTGGATTTATACCCCGCCCTTCACTTGGAGTCTCAGAGCGGCTTACAAACTCCTTTCCCTTCCCCTCCCCACAACAGACACCCTGTGAGGTGGGTGGGGCTGAGAGAACTCTGACACAAACTGCTCTTTCAGGAACAGCTGTGCCAGAGCTTGTGACTGACCCAAGGTCACATCAGCAGGTGCAAGTGGAGGAGTGGGGAATCAAACCCAGTTCTCCCAGATTAGAGTCCGCGCACTTAACCACTACACCAAACTGGCTCGACATTAAAGTGTCGAATTCTCTGCCAAATAATTTTAAGTAAATGAAAGCATTTGGGATCGCTTCCCTTACTTTGTTTGGATCCTCTTAAGTTAATGTGTGAGTTGTTTTTTCTAAAGTAAAACCTCAGTATTCAGGTTAAATTGCCGTGTTGGCACTTTGCGATAAATAAGTGGGTTTTGGGTCGCAGTTTGGGCACTCGGTCTCTAAAAGGTTTGCCATCACTGCCCTAGGGGGTCGCCATAAAGTGGCCGAGGCTTGTCGTCTGAAGAAAAAGAAAGAAGGAAGCCCTCTCCCTTCTAATCGCGCTTGTGCTATAGAGGGAGAAGCAGTCCCACATCTGGGTCCAGATGGCATAACTACTACGGTGCATGTGTGTGTGTGTGTGGGGGGGGATAAGCCACCTCCTCCGATCAGACATCCTTATTTGCAATTGGTGAGCCGAGTCACGAACTGCTCCCATGCTGCTACTCCTAAAAGCGCTGGGCACCAAATATTAGTGCCGTACTGAGCCAGCCTAAGTTCCCATACGTATGAGAGTGCAAAATGTCTCATAAAGAGCACTTCTCTCTCCTCGTACCCATGCATGAAATCTCATGCACTCGGCAACGTTGGATACACCCACCGGCTCAATCCCATGGCAGCTACAGGGCAGGCGAAGGGCTCTTTAGTCCACCGCTCTCCAGCATCAAGAGCTCCCCCCTTCCCTGGTTCACGCACCATGACTGCTCACCCTGGTCTGCCTGATATGGCATGGGTGGGCCACTGATGTGAGCAACGGAACACAGACCCTCAGCCTCGAGTGTTATACCAGAGAAAAGGGGCAAAAGTCTCCTTTGTTTTGAGCTTGAAAGAAAACCGCTGCAGTGCATATTTGTGGGTCAGCTCGGAGTTGCGTCCAATTGTGTCTTGATGTGCGATAAACAAAAGGGGGGGGGGGAGAGAAGACAGGGTTCATACAAAACCCAGAAGGCCTGAAGCAGCTTTCTCAGTCTCTTCTAGAGGGAGACCAGGCTTTGCAAAAATCAAAACCCTGTATATGCCTTCCTTACTTTGCAAGCTGGAATGCACTCCAGTCGGAACCCTTGGCGGAGCCTAATACTAACACAATCCCAATCCTTCACAACTCCGCTTGTGGCCAAAATTCTACCATTCCGTGAACCCTGGCCAATCACAGGAGGGAGCTGTTGCAACTGTGGGCCCCATCTCCCAATTGCTTTTCACAACCAACTGCTGCCATCCTGTGGCCAGGTCAGGAAACAACACCACTTTCCCGTGCGGACAAAACCACAGGTAGCCGTAGAAAAACTCCAAAAACTCACAGCTCGTGAAATACCTTTTTTTGTCAGGGTCGATCAAAATATCACAGGACTTCTAACAAGCTTTCTGGTTGCCCAGAACTCTGCATCAGGCTGCTTAGTACAAAGCAAAGGGGGGAAAGAAAATTCAGGGCATAACAGAGAAGCCTACCATCTGTAGTTTATAGAGTCCTTAAATGGAATACTGATGTGTTGCAGACTTAATGAGATTAAAGGTTTTGACAGCTACTGGACCCTTCTATCCTCATTTCTCCAAAAAGCACCTGGATAAGCTTTTCACTAACAGCATGAAAGCAGCGTGATAGATTTTGGAGAGAGCGCCAGATGCTTGCTATGAATATTGCAATGCCTATGAGCATGTGGGCAGACTGAGGAATGCATACCTGTGCAGGTGCCAGGAGGAAGTGCTTCCAACAGAAGGTTTTGGAAGAAGCACTTTGGACCTGGCAAGTGCACAAGTGTGCTCAACCTGCCAGCAGTCTAGAGGAATCACAGTCAAAGTATTGAGAGACAACGTGAATGAGAAATTGTGATGTATGGGCTTGTTTATAATAAACAACACATTAATGGAAATAATTCAACAAAGACTATTTTATAAAGCAAACTGTGGTTCATATTATTATAAACTAATAAGTGTGTATTACATTATACGTGAAGTCATTGTTAGAAAAGAGCAAGTCAATACAAAACACTATTTCAAGAAACCAAGAAGATTAGTCCATAATAAGTGCTGTTTGGCACGAAGTCCAGCCAATAGTCTTATGGAATAAATCTGGTCCAATGATTCAGGTACTGATCTTTATGAAGTATATCCAGTCCAGCACTCCAAGGAACGAGGGATCTAGATTACTATCAATTTGAGAAGATGATGAACTTAAGTGCCCTTATAGACTTCTTTGTGGCTTTATATGAATTTCTTCGATGCAGAACTGATAATTCAAAAATCAGGGTGTATTCCCCAGTACAGACATCAGCCCACTTTTGAATTTTGGCTGAAGAAAAGTTCTACAACTTGAAACGAGCCTCAAGTAATCTAGATACCTTGTTCCTTGGACTGCTGGACTGGATATACTTCATAAAAACCAGTACCCGGATTGTTGGACCAGATTTATTTTATGAGACGTATTTTATAAGTATTGTTGGCTGGACTTTATGCCAAACAGGACGTATTATGGACTAATCTTCTTGGTTTCTTGAAATGGTGCTTTGTATTGATTTTCTCTTGACTAACGATGACTTTATGTATAATGTAATATGCACTTATTAGTTTATAATAATATGAAACACCGTCTGCTTTATAAAATAGTCTTTATTGAATTATTTCCATTAAGTTTATTATAAACAAGCCCATACATCACAGTTTCTTGTTCATGGTCTCTCCCCTCTCTCCTGTCAGGCACATCCCAGGTGGCTGCCAGGGTGACGACGGGAAACCAAGGCCTCTTTTCTCTCCAGCCAGCTTATAGGCTGCATTTGGTAGGGGAGACGGACCCTCCCCCAGCTGACTGGGCCTTCCTTCAGGTGAGGGGGACAGGAGGGGCCGCTATAATGTCCTTTTCCGGGGCCAGTTCAGTTTCCCAGTCCACCCATACCGACATAACCTTAGAAAAAGCCATAAGACGGAAGTTCTTTCAATGCAGGCTTGAGATTGCTGCAACAGTAGCAACTGGCATGCCGATCCTCTGCCCTCTTCTTCATTAATATGCTTCGAAATTCCAAGTTCAGAAAGCTGAGATGGGCCGGGCTGCAGAAATGGCCCACTTGTGAAGTCCTGGTGATGGGCCCTTCCATCCTATCACACTGGTGGGACAAGAGGACACCGATTCTGAGAAGGTGTTCAACAGAGAGAAGGGGATCCGAGGTTTTAAGATTGCGGAAGAAGTCAGTTTCACAGGACAGCTGTGCTGGTCTGCAGTAGAACAGCTCGATTCGAGTCCCGTTGGACCTTAGAGCCCGAGAGCTTCAGGCTCTGGGCTTTCGAGAGCATCTTTCGAAGGTAGCCGTGATTCTCGAAAGCTTGTGCCCTGAAGATCTTGTCTCTAAGGCGCTACCGGAATCAAATCTCGAAAAAAAATTTAAAAAATCAGTACTCAAGAGCATCATGGAAGACAGCCGTTCAGTGTATCAGCTGCTCCAAATGCCCCGAATAAGGCAGACAGAATTTGGCCTCTCAACTAAAAAAAAGAAGAGAGTCATGGATGATTCAAATGACATAGCTAAAACGTTTAGTCCGATCAGACGGTCATATCTGACGTCTCCAACAAACATCTCAGTTCATTGCTGGAGTACAGGCTGCTCTCATATGTTTTCTGATCCTCGATTACTTCAGATTTCACCAATAGGTCTTACAGGACTCTTTCCTAGAACATCCATCTATTTTCCCACGGCAACTTTCCCGAAAACAGTCCCCTTTGGGAGGGAAACACTGTGTTGGAGGAAGCCCCATGATGGAGATCATGCAGAAGGCACGGTTGGCACTGAAGTTCTCTGAAGGACTGACTCAGACTCTTTCTCTTGGTGGCACCTGCAGACCTGCTGACTTCCTCCAACAGGCCTAGCCGGGCCTCTGCCATTTCCTCTGCCGCTCGAGCCCCAGAAGCCTAAAAGGAAGAGTTGCAGGTATGGGGGACCCACGATGGGATTTACTTTGTCCGCCTGAACCTTGAAGATGATGCTGGGCTCAGGTCAAGACTGGCCAAACCGGTTTAAAAGGAAAGCCACGCATCGTTTGGTTCTTGCCAGGGGAACACCAGTGCCCTTTCGAGAGGTTCACCAGATCCTCCGGCTCCCTCCTCTCCCACCGTATTTCCAGACCCGGGTTTCCTCACGGTCTAGGCTGGCTCTATGGCAGGCACTCGGCCACTTCCAGCGCCCCTCTAGGCTCTTCTTGCCAAAGGCAGCTTTGCAGATGGGTTTTCCGGGCTTCCCTCACTCCGCTTCTTTGCAGATCAGAGTGACTTTCTCGTCCAGCAGGTCTTCCATGGTCACCGTCACCAGCTCAGTTCTGCCTTGGTATCCTTGGGCATCCGGCAGCGTCAGGAACACGTGGGAGCCGGTGAGCTCTGACTCAGTGAGAGCGATCACCTGCTCTGGCGCCTGAATCACCTGAAAGGAAATGAACGTGAGTGTGGCTGCTCTGTCTTCCCAGAGATCGGGAGACTTGGACTCAGATTCCTACTCGGCCCTGAACCTTGTGGCAGCGGCTGTGTCTCCAGTATAAACATCTCAAAGGTAGAAGAGTAAAATGGATAACCTCATGTGTACCACCCTGAGCACTCTGGAGGTACAAAAGGTACAAAACCAATGCATTTTGGCCTAGGAGCAAAGTCCCAAAGTCACCCTCCATCACCAATACTTTAAAGAAAACTCAGTGGTCAGAAATGGGAAAGGCAAAACCAAACCAGGAAACAGGAGAGTGATCTAAAATGCTGGCCCCCGCTGTAGTTTTACGGCAAATTAGGCAGAAGGGAATTTTATTAAGCTGCGAGGAAGGGGGGGGGGAAGCACGGGAGGAAGGAAGAGGAGTGGAGGAAAAACTTGCACCGGCTTCAGGGCAGGTCACCTTCTTGTTTGGAAGAAACATGACTTACTTGCACTATATGGGCCGCGGGGACTTGTGAGCCTGCAAACACCACTTTGGGGTGCTCGGCCCCACAGTGCTCCTCCAGCTGCTCCTGCCCGGAAAAGAGCTCCCCACACAGCCTGCACCCGAGCGACGGTTCTGCCTGCGTGGTGTGTTCTGTGGCCACATGGTGCTGGAGTGTCTCCTGGAGGTGGAAGGACGCCGAGCAGTGTGGGCAGAGGAATGCCTGGGACCCTACGGCACAGAGAGCGCTGCAGTGAGCCCGGAAGCCTTTGGAGGAGAGCAAGGGAGGGGGAGATGGGGGAAGGGGGCACGCTCACCCAAGTGCTGACGCTTCAGGTGAGCCTGCAGCAAGGCCAGGGTGGGGAAGAGACCCCCACACTGCTCACACTCGTGGAACACCACATCTGGAGGAGACAAAAGCCGGACTGCTTTCAGATAGGGATCGCCCCTTGCTCACCACCAAACTGTAGTGAAACGGTCGGGTCATCCTGCAGAGGTTTCCCAGGCAGCGACACGTAGCTGTGCTCCTGCTCCCAGCACAGGGGGGAGTGTCTCTATAAACCTTTTTTTGTAAGGCTCTAATGCACTTTTGAGCGGGAGGGAAGGCAGTGTGGTATAGCCCGATCTCATCAGATCTCTTAGGGGCACGTGGGAGAGGGCCTTTTCTGTGGCAGCTCCCTGTTTATGGAACAACATCTCCAGAGAGGTGCGCCTGGCCCCCCCACTGTCGACCTGCAGAAGGCAGCTGAAGACAGTGTCTTTTTAGGATGGCATTTGACTGATTTGATTTTTTATCGATGGGCAGTCCTAACTGGAGTTTTTACGCTGTGAACTTCTATGTGTTTCTATAACTGTTGCTTCATTCGTATTTAGAACGGATAAAAGGAAGTCCTTCTTCACCCAAAGAGTGATTAACACATGGAATTCACTGCCACAGGAAGTGGTGGCGGCTACAAGCATGGACGGCTTCAAAAGGGAATTAGATAGGCATATGGAGCAGAGGTCCATCAGTGGCTATTAGCCACAAGGTATAGATAGGGGCTCTGGGGCAAGTGATGCTCTGTCATCTTGGTGCTTGGGGGGGGAAGGCAACAGTGGGAGGGCTTCTAATGTCCTGGCCCCACTGGTGGACCTCCTGATGGCACCTGGTATTTCAGGTCACTGTGTGATACAGAGTGTTGGACTGGATGGGCCTTTGGCCTGATCCAACATTGGCGTCTCTTATGTTCTTATTGCCTGCCTGTGCATAGCTACCCTGGACTTCCTTGGTGGTCCCATATCCAAGTACTAACCCCAGGGCCCACCATTTGAGGGATCAGCTTAGCCTCCATGACCTGATGAGATGGGGCTAGCCTGGGCCGTGTTGGACTGGATGGGCCTTTGGCCTGATCCAACATTGGCGTCTCTTATGTTCTTATTGCCTGCCTGTGCACAGCTACCCTGGACTTCCTTGGTTCCGTATCCAAGTACTAACCCCAGGGCCAACCTGCTTAGCTTCCATGACCTGATGAGATCGGGCTAGCCTGGGCCATCCAGGGTGGACCGAGGCATCTTTAGAGAAGCTATCTTTGCCACCCTTCCGTCCTTACCTGCATGTTCTTCCTTGGTGTGTTTTCTGTAGGCTGCGGTGCTGAGAAAAGTTTTATCACAAGAGCTGCACTGTAACGAGGAGAACTTGGAAGAACGGTGGTTCTGGGCTGCGAAGATATCTGGGTGATGGGTCCGATTGTGGTACCACAGCCCCGACAACTGCTGCAGAGAGCAAATGAAATTGGGTTACCACGGTAAGGTGCGTAAGAACACAAAAGCCCTGCTGGATCAGATCTGTGGTCCGTCTGGTCCAGCATCATGGTTCCTGACAACTAGATGCCCCCGGGCGTCCCTCAAGCAGGCAGTGAAGGCGAGGGCTGCTCCCAGTGCAAACCTGTAACTGGAACTTCTCTTCAGTGGTGTCAAATCACTGGAACAACCCAAGGAGCTCAACTTGTTTCTTTCTCCTTGGGGTTAGGAGGCAGGTTAAGGCATGCTGGAGTTCAATGACACATAGAAACACACAAGCGCACATGAATCTGCCTTATACTAGATCAGACCATTGGTCCATCGTGGACAGCACTATCTATTCAGACTGGTGGTGGCTTTCCAGGCTCTTAAGTAGAAATATTTCACATTACCTACTACCTGATCCTTAACTAGAGATGTCAGGGATGCCAAGCGGACGCTCTACCACTGAGCCATGGCCCCTCCCCGACTGACTCTAAGCCACTGGGTTTGATTCCCCACTCCTCCACATGCAGCTGCTGGTGTGACTTTGGGTCAGTTACAAGTTCTCTCAGAGCTGTTATGAGCAATTCTCGAAAGAGCTCTCTCAGACCCACCTACCTCACAGGGCGTCTGTTGTGGGGAAGGGAAAGGAGATTGTCAGCCACTCTGAGACTCCTTCAGGTAGTAAAGGGCGGGGTATAAATCCAATCTCCTCTTCTCCTTTTCTACTGCTGTCAACTTTGTCTTTTTAATTATTGGGCCATGCTTTTGATGGTTATCGTAGCAATGTACTATTTTACTGAATTTTAAAAATTGTTTAAACTCTTACCCTGAACAAAATCATTTTATAAACACAGGTAATAGATTTTCTGTGTACAAACACCGAACTGCAATTCAGACTCCGGCACCTGAAGTCTTGAGTGTCACCGTGTCCTTGTTGCACTGATCACCAATGCTCCCTCTAAGCTGTGGAGTCTTGTGAGCAAAAATGCTACTTTGTGAGCTACTGGCATTAAAGTTGTGAGCGAGCGGTTTGGCTACTGCATAAATTAGTTTGCTCTGGAGCCATCCTCCCTGAGCTAAGACAAAAATGTGTGAGCCGGAGGCTAAAACTGTGAGCTAGCTCACACTAACTCAGCTTAGAGGGAACACCGCTGTCCCACCATTTGAGGGATCAGCTAAGTGACACCAAGAGGGATTGCTGCCTTCCAAGGACCACTGGGAACAACTGAAAAATAGGGAGCAGTGCACAGACAGAAGGAACGCCTGGGGGTTTAGTAATGGCGTACCTGATAAGCTTTGTCGCAGATCTCGCAACTGAAGGGCTTCCCCCCGACATGGGTGACCATGTGACGCTCCAGCAGGGACGGTGCGCTGAAGACCTTCCCGCACGTTGGACACGGGTGGTACTCCCTGGCGTGGGTCATGTGGATATGCTTGCGGTGTTCCTGCAGCGTGGGGAAGCTCATCTGGCACTTCTTGCAGTCGTAGGGATCGTCAATGTCTGTGTGCCATGGAGAGGGCAGCTGGTTATCCTTCATACAGAAGTTATTTTTCATTCATACAGAGTCTTCATGCTACCCTTGCAAGGGACTGTCCAAGGCTTATACTCCTGTAGTGCAGCAGTGGAAGCCATAAAGTGGCAAACAGGAATGTCACTGGTTCGAGGATTACCTCAGTCGCTAACTCACTGAGGGGCCTGAGGAAAGGCCCTCTTCCTCAGCTCCCATCTTGATTATTAAATGAGGATGAGGATGATGACGAAGAAGAGATTGGATTTATACTCCGCCCTTCACTACCCAAAGGAGCCTCAGAGTGGCTTACAATCTCCCTTCCCCACAACAGACACCCTGTGAGGTTGGTGGGGCTGAGAGAACTCTTTTGAGAACTGCTCTTGAGAAAACTGCTCTTAAATAACTTGTAACTGACCCAAGGTCACACCAGCCGCTGCATGTGGAGGAGTGGGGAATCAAACCGGGTTCTCCCAGATTAGAGTTTGCACTCGTAACCACTACACCAAACTGACTGTTCTGGCCTGCCTAGGCAAAACATGGCCCTCGTTTGTAAGCATTAAAATGCAGTAATTCAACTCAAACTCCAACTGTTTTGAAGCTGAGGGGCAGCAGTACAGAAACCAGAGGCTGGTGGAACGCAGACTCCAGACCTTACAATTTAGCATCACTCTGCTAAATTGCAGCCTGTTGATAGCACCTGAAGGATGGGAATTCTAGGAAGTCTCCTTCCTCTAGCTTATGTTTTTATCCCACCCATCTTCAGGGAGGCATACATAGGTCTTTTCTGCCCACATTTTATCCTCACGACAATGTTGTGTAGTGATTAGAATGTTGGACTAGGAAACAGGGTGGTGGTGAATCCCTGCTTTGCTGGGTGACCTTGGGCCAATTACACACCCTCTCTCGGCTGAACCCACCTCACTGGTTTGCTGTTGTGAGGATAAAATGGAGGGAAGGAGAACAATGGGTGCATGGGGGTTAATATGTGCATGTGAGTGTGTGTGTGCACTTGGAAGTCATGGCGACCTCTGGTGACTACTGAACATAAGAACATAAGAGACGCCAATGTTGGATCAGGCCAAAGGCCCATCCAGTCCAACACTCTGTCACACAGCGGCCAGAAATACCAGGAACCATCAGGAGGTCCACCAGTGGGGCCAGGACATTAGAAGCCCTCCCACTGTTGATCCCCCCAAGCACCAAGAAGACAGAGCATCACTTGCCCCAGAGTCCCTATCTATACCTTGTGGCTTATAGCCACTGATGGACCTCTGCTCCAAATGTTTATCTAATTCCCTTTTGAAGCTGTCCATGCTTGCAGCCGCCACCACTTCCTGTGGCAGTGAATTCCATGTGTTAATCACTCTTTGGGTGAAGAAGTACTTCCTTTTATCCGTGCCCACGAGTTCTTGTCTTGTGAGAAAGGGAGCAAAGTACCTCTTTCCCTCTATCCCATGCATAATCTTATAAACTTATACTGGCGGCCTGGGGGATATTCAGAGAGGCGGCTGAATAAAGCCTGCCCCTGCCTCCCAACTGCTGGTATTCCTTGGAGGTCTCCCATCCAAGCACTTGCCAGAGTCAGAGCCCTGCTTAGCTTCCGAGACCTGACGAGATCAAGCTTGCCTGGGCTATCCAGGTCAGAGTGGGAGGTAAAGGTAAAGGTTCCCTTGCTCGAAAGCCAGTCGAATCTGACTCTAGGGTTGTGGTGCTCATCTCCGTTTCAAAGCCGAAGAGCCAGCGCTGTCCGAAGACGTTTCCGTGGTCATGTGGCCGGCATGACTAAACACCAAGGCGCACGGAACGCTGTTACCTTCCCACTGAAGTGGTACCTATTTATCTACTTGCAATGTCTTGCTTTCGAACTGCTAGGTTGGCAGGAGCTGGAACTAGAGATGGGAGCTCCCTCCGTCATGCGGCACACTCGGGTCTCGAACTGCTGAACTACTGACCTTCCACAGCCTGCAGTTCAGCGTCTTAACCACTTGAGCCACCGCAGCTCTGTTATAAGCCAACCTGGGTCTCTGTTGGGAAGACCAGCTGAGTATAAAAGAAACGAAGAAACTAGGCTGAGGAGGAGGAGCTGAGGAAGAGCACCTCTTCCTCAAGAGACAGCGGCAGAGCTGGCTCTGTATGCAACCAGCTTCCTGAGCCCCTGGCCTTTCATTTCTTATACGTTTTATAACTAGCCTCCACGCCCTGACCTCAGATCTCAGAAGCTAAAAAAAGGCAGGCACGGGCAAAACACCTCTGTTCATCTCTTGCCTTGACAATCCTACGGGGTCGCCGCATGCTAGCTGCGACTTGATGGCATTTTACGCACACCAGCCTTCATGACCGAGGAAGACGGGTTTTAAAAGGGATAAGCTATGGCTGGTGATATCCTCCAAGATGTGCTGGGTGGAAAGGAGGGGGGAGATAAATTGTAATGATGCATAACGTACCCAGCCCTGTGCCATCAGATGCACTGGCCAAGGGTTTCCCTCCTCCTGATGCCAGGGTTCCAGGCCCTCCCGATTTTATCCCTCTCTGCAGGGAACCCCCAGCTGGGAGCCCTTCCTCCATGGGGCCAGCTGAAGCTACTCACGGTGGAAGGTGCGAAGATGAATGGAGAGGCCATTTGCTTGGCGAAAGCCCTTCCCGCACTCCCTGCAGACATAGGGCTTGTCGCCGGTGTGGGTGCGCACGTGGCGGGACAGCTCAATCGACTGCGCGAAGACTGCGGCACAGTACTGGCAGGCGTACATCTTCCCTGCAAAAGAGAGCCACTGCAGCTGATGGCGGGGTCCATCTCGTAGGCTACCAAACAACGGCGTTATCCAGGGCTGAGCTCTGCACCCTGGAGGTCTCGGCCACTGTTTGGTTTGGGGACCTTCCACTGTTTGGCACAGGGGAAGAGCCTCTGCTTTGCATGCGGAAGGTCCTAGGTTCAATTCCTGGCACCTCAAAAAGGAACAAGCAATAGGTGATAGCAGGGCTTTTTTTCGTAGAAAAAGCCCTGCAGGAACTCATTAGCATAATAGGCCACACCCAACAGCAGAAACTCCTTAGCATATTAGGCCACACCCCTGACAGCACAGCTCATTAGCCCATTAGGCCGCACCCCCATGTTACCAAAAGTGTGGTCATCCAGCCACACTCACCTTTCCCTTCTTATTCTGTTTACCTTGTTTGTGGTCAAAACCCAGGGCCTTTTTTTGTAGCAGGAACTCCTTTGCATGTTAGGCCACACACCCCTAATGTAGCCAATCCTAATGAGTTTCTGCTGTTGGGTGTGGCCTATTATGCTAATGAGTTCCTGCTGGGTGTGGCCAACTCAGGAGCCAGCCGGAACTCTGTTCCTGTGCGTTCCTGCCCAAAAATAGCCCTGGGTGATGGGAAAGACCTCTTGCCCGAGACCCTGGAGAGCAGCCGCCAGTCTGAATAGACGACGCTGACCTGGATGGACAAAGGCTCTGATTCAATAGGAGTCAACCTCATGCGTGAACACGCGTGTGATCATAATGTTCTCCGTCACCAAGGGGACAGCGGGATAGAGGTCCTCCAAATACATACGTACAAACATACCCTCTGCATGCTTCTTCTTAGTATGGTAGGCAAGGGCGGAGGCCTGTGAGAAAGCGGTCCGGCAGTGTTTGCAGACAAAGGGCCGATCCCCAGAGTGCAGGCGCTGGTGGTTCTTCAGTGTGGAGTTAGCGGCAAATTTGGCTCCGCACTCGTCGCAGGAGAAGGGCTTCTCGTCAAAGTGCTCCGTCAGTTTGTGGTACTGCATCCCTGGGGAGGCAGAAAGGTGGCAGCATGCGGCAACTGTGAAGAAGGCCGAGCTCCTCCAGTTTAAAGGCTTTGAGGCAACCCAACTGATGTGGGCGAACTGAAAGGCTAGGAACACCTCTCCCTAGAGCACCCTTTCCTCCTAAGGTTAGCTGGTGGTGGCACCCAATGTTCCCTCTAAGCTGTGAAGTCCTGTGAGCAAAAATTCTACTTTTTGAGCTACTGGCAATAAAGTTGTGAGCAAGTAATTTGGCTGCTGCATAAATTAGTTTGCTCCGGAGCCCTCCTTCCTGAGCTAAGATAAAAACGTGTGAGCTGGAGGCTACAAAACAGTGAGCTAGCTCACACTAACTCAGCTTAGAGGGAACAGTGGTGGCACCCACTGAGGGGACCAAGAGCTCATGACCACACTAAAACGGTTCCTGGACTGTACCACAGGCAAGTTACAGCCGAGGGGGTGTTCGTCTGAGTGAACACTCCGCTATATCGTAAAAATCCCCAGCCACAGAAAACTACGAATACGCTACCCCCTGTAAGCACGGTGTGGTGGCTAGAGGGTCAGACTAGGACCTGGGAGACCCAGCTTGAAATCTTTACTCTGCCATGAAGCTCGCTGGGTGACCTTGAGTGAGCAGTCTCTCTCTCGGCCTCACCTTATCTCACTGGGTGGTGGTTGTGATAAAATGGAGGGGAAGACAGTGAGGTTGGCAGCTCCTTTGGGGAGAAAAACAGGGCATAAATATCTAAACAAACAATACACGGCAGGGGTGGCCAAACTGCGGCTCGGGAGTCACATGCGGTTCTTTCACACACATTGCGCGACTCCTGGCAGGGCAGCTGGGGAAGCGAAGGGGAGGCCTACTTTTTCTCCCTCCCTCTCTTCCTTCCTCCCATAATTTGCTTTCTTTGTTTCTCTCTCTTTCCACCTCGTTCATTCTTTCTTTCCACCGCTCTCTCTTTTTCTCTTTCTCTTAGACAAATAAATATAATTAGCAAACAAATAAATATAATTGAACAGGTAAATATCGTTATCGATATCTGTTTTTACCCCTTTTATTTTTGGCAGTCTCATTTAATGTTAATAAGAAGCACATTTGCATATCTTAAAATAAAAACATGTACTATTTGTCTTGCGGCTCTCAAACATTTGACGTTTATTCTGTGTGGCTCTTAAGTTGAGCAAGTTTGGCCACCCCTGATATATGGGATGAATAAAGGCTCTCTAGTCGAACTTTCTAGAGTGCTAATATTCTGCAGGTAGGGGTGCAAGGGAGCGGGAGGATCCACTCACAACTATTTCTATTTTATTTTATCTTTTAAAACTTTATTATATTTCTATCCCCCCCTTCCCCGTGAACGGGCTCAGGGCGGCTCACAATTAAGGGCACCATGTGCTAGGTGTATAAAACATATAAAAACAACCATATATTACAATTAAAGTGCTCAGTGATGTTAATCCTTCAGACGAATTTAGATGGCGTACTGTAGATGTAACACAAAGTCCCAGTTCAGAGGTGACGGATCCATCACGATGCTGTGGCTCTATCTTCATACAGGGCCAACCCACTACCCCGTTGTTACTAACAATAATAGTTGGTGGTAGTGGTAGTGGCGGCTCCTAATTAAAAGCCTGGCGGAAGAGCTCCGTCTTGCTGGCCCTGCGGAACTGTAAAAGGTCCCACGGGGCCCTAATCTCCTCCGGGAGCTGGTTCCACCAGGCAGGAACCATCACTGAAAAGGCCTTGGCCCTGGTTGCAGCGAGCCTGGCCTCCCTGGGGCCGGGGATCACTAACCGATGTTGTGACCCTGACCGTAGTGCTCTCTGGGGTATGTGTGGGAAAAGGCAGTCCCTCAGGTATGCTGGACCCTGGCCATATAGGGCTTTAAAGGTAAGTATCAGCACCTTGAAGCGAATTCGGAATACTATTGGCAGCCAGTGCAGCGCTTTCAGCCCAGGCCAGATGTGCTCCCCCCTAGGGAGGCCCATCAAGAGCCTGGCCGCAGCATTCTGCACTAGCTGCAGCTTCTGGATTTGCATCAAGATGTAGAGAGCATTACAGTAGTCTAATCTCAAGGTGACCGCCGCATGGATCACTGTAGTTAGGTCATCGCGGTCAAGGAAGGGAACCCACTGCCAAATCAGCCGGAGATGGTATAAGGCTGACCTGGCAGTGGCTGCCACCTGGGCCTCCATAGTTAAGGAGGGATCCAGGAGCACTCCCAAACACCTAACTTCCGGCGCTGGCACCAGAGGCACCCCGTCGAAGGCCAGGAGAGGGATCCCCATCCAGAGACCGCCCCGACCCAGGCACAGGACCTCCGACTTTGCTGGGTTTAGTTTCAGCCGGTTCAGTCTAAGCCAACCAGCCACGGCGTGCAGTGCCCGGTTCAGATCTTCCGGACTGGAGTCCGACCAGCTGCCCAACATCAGATAGAGCTGGGTGTCATTGCATACTGATGACACCCTAGTCCATACCTCCGGGCAATCTGGGCAAGGGGGCACATATAGATGTTAAACAACATCAGGGAAAGCACCGCCCTCTGATGAACGCCACATTCAAGTGGGTGTCTCCTGGACTGCTGTTCCCCTAGTGCCACCCTTTGTCCCCGACCCTGGAGAAAAGAGGCACGCTATTGTAAGGCAAGCCCCTGTATCCCCATTTGCTGAACCACCTCGGTCCAGATGCCTCCAAAGGTCGTCCGTAAGGGCAACTAACGCTGTCTCCGTCCCATGACCTGGGCGAAAGCCGGACTGGAAGAGATCTAGGATGGAAGCGTCATCCAGGAAGCCCTGGAACTGTATCACCACCGCCAACTATTTTAAAAGCATCAGAAATAAAGCAAACAGATCCCTGCCTATGGGATTAGAATTTTTTCAAAAAAGGACACCGAAGAATAGAAGTGATCGGATCACCTCTACCGACCTATGCGCTAACTGTGGTCCCACCATGGCACATTCTGCCTCTGACCCTCTGGATTGCTATTCTGCATGTCATCCCGCATGCTACAGAACCACAGAATGCAAGCAACTGAAATAAAAATGCTTTTCTCCCCGAAGCAGCTGACAACCTCATTTTTTTCTCCCTCTCCCAAAATACTTGAACTCGAGGGCATCCGATGAAGCTGATGGGCAGTAGGTTCAGGGTGGACAAAAGGAAACACTTCTTTACACAGAGAGTGATTCAGGAGTGGGATTTGCTGCCAGAGGATGTAGTGATGGCCACAGGAATAAACAGCTTTGAAAGGGGATTAGATAGATTTGTGGAGGAGAGCTCTACCAGTGGTTACTAGCCATGGTGACCAAAGGGAACCTCCACATTCAAAGGCACTAAACCTCTGAATCCCAGAGCCAGGAGGCAACACGAGGGAAAGGTCTTGGCCTCTATGCCCTGTTGCTGGCCCTCCAGAGGAACTGGTTGGCCACTGTGTGAGACAGGATGCTGGACGAGATGGACCACTGGTCTGATCCAGCGGGGCTCTTCTTATGTAACTGTACCAGCTGTACCTGAGGCGTGAGCAAATTCTCGACCGCAGATGTCGCAAGCCACGGGGAGGCGCTTTTTCTTTTTCTTCCTGGAGGCAGAGCCTGGAGTCTCCGGGGGGCATTTCTCAAGCTCCTTCCTGGAAGCCCTCGTCTCATTGCAGTCTTTGCAGGGGTCTTGCTTCTGGCTGGCGACGCAGCAGCGTTTCTCATGTACCTGGAGGCGGCAGTAGAAGCGGAAGCTCTTCCCGCAGGCCTTGCAGGTGAAGCTCCTCTTTGGGGCAGCACCCTCGGGCGGCACCCCAAGCTCGGCCTTCTGCTCGTTTACTTCTTGGCCCGTGTCTTCAAGCGGGGACTCCTTTTCCGCCAGCCATCGCTGGGCATCGGCCTCACCTCCTTCCGTCAACAGCCCTGCACAACAATTGGAACAATGCTGCCGATGTTCACCAAACACGGTTTGGCCCATCGACGACACGCTGAGCATCAGCATCCAAAAAGCCACAGAATAATCTACCATGTAGTTCCCCGAAAGCTCAACTTTTTAAATCTCTGATTTCTCGAGGCTGCAAAAACTGGGTGCCCGGCAAAGGCCTGGAAATTCAGGGGAGGGCTGAATTGGACCGCCAGAGATCCAGGAGCAGAACAGATTTTGCAGATTGGCTGAAGTGGCACAACGGCATGTAGGCTACAGACCGTGTGTGCCACCCTGACCACCTTGAAGGAAAGGCGGAGGTGGAGGAATCAAGTAAATAGATAAAGGACATTCGATGCATCATGTTGTTATGGGAACTGCTGCTTAAGCCTCCATCCTGCCTTGGAATGCAGGCTTGCCTGGGAGGCCACAGGTGGCTCCAGACTCTCAGCAGCCTCTCTAAAGAAAAGCAAGGAGAGGCTGCTGACAGGCCGGTGCTTGGAAGTCCCTGCAGGAGTCTCCTCTGGCACTTGTACGCCTGAACTGACCTGTTAGATCTGGCTGCCTGGCCCTTCAGCTTCCTCCTTCTCCACGTCCAGTCACCACCCATCCCTTAAAGTTACTTCTTTCCCCCAATCCAGCTAGGTTACCCACATCCTAGCTTGCCCCGACATGTGCACTGTTAGAAGGCTGGTGTACACATATGCTTAAAACATGCTGACTTGGGCATGCCTCCCCACTGTGGGCACACCCACCGGCAAACACTCATTTGCTGCCGCCGGAGTATTCTTCCGGCCACCCAAGACAGAGAGATCGGCAGGCGCTCACCTGCCTGGCGCAGTTCCCGCACGACTGGCTGCAGGCCTGGGAAGAACCCCTGAGCGCCGCAGAGGAGCTGGCAGATCTGGTTGGCAGGCACGGATGTGCCAAGGGTGCTGCTCAGAGCTGCCTTCCAGGATGCTGTGGGGGTCCCCTCCAGCAGGTCAATGTTCAGCAGCTGGAAAAGATGGGAGAGGAAAGGAACAAGGGTCACAGGAAGAGGCCTGTCTTGTGCTGCCTCTGCAAAATCAGAAGAGGCAATGCCTCTTGCTGGCCCTGCTGCCGGAATCTTACTGTTCTCCCAGTTTTCCAGATTTCTGATCAGGTGCAGGTGTGCGGCAGGACTCTCCTCACCAGGTGACAGGGTTATAAGAACTGCCCTACTGGATCAAACCCAAAGGTGCAGTGTTTTGTTTCCCACACCGGCCAGCTGGAGACCTCTGGAAGCTCCCAAAGTGTGGCACGAAGGCAACAGCCTCTCACTGCAAGCCTGACGTTTGGCTCTCAGAGGTCTGTCGCCATCTACCTGATACGAATCAGGGCACCGTCTCGGATCCTCCCAGAGCTTCCTCCTAGCAGAGCCCTCCATTAACACTGTTCAGTCGTTCACTGCCAGGTCTTGTTCTCTCCCAGCTGTGGCCTCGGCCTTTTGGAATGCTCTCCCGTCAGACCTGAGCATGGCTGCTGCAAAGGCCTCCTTCTGTAAGCGATGCAAGGCTGTACTGCTCTCTTTGGTGGGTGACGAAGCAGTATGGGCTTGAGGTGGAGGGTAGTCTGTAGTTTACTTATGATTTTAACTGTTTCCTTGCCTGCTGGGCAGGCCTCTGTACACCACCATGAGCCACCAAGATCCGTGGGAAAGGTGGGATGTGAATACTTTAATAAATAAAATTAAAATCTATCTATGATGGTTAAATGCTCTTTTTGATCTGGGAGAACCAGGTTTGGTTCCCCACTCCTCCACTTTCAGCTGCTGGATGACCATAGTTCTGACAAGAGCTGTTCTTGAAAAAGAGCAGTTCTCTCAGAGCTCTCTCAGCCCCACCTACCTCACAGGGTGTCTGTTGTGGGGAAGGGAAGGGAAAGGAGTTTGTAAGCCGCTCTGAGACTCCGAGTGAAGGGCGGGGTATAAATCCAATCTCTTCTTGTTCTCTTCTCTTCTTCTTCTTAAAAAAAAAATTATATGTGCATGTGTGCGTGCACCTGGAAGTCATGGCAACCTAAGGCGAATGACCCCTACTGGGGGCCCAGAGGATATTCAGAGAGGTGGCCAAATAAAGCCTGCCCCCACCTCCCACCTCTGGTATCCCTTGGAGGTCTCCCATCCAAGTACTTGCCAGAGTCGACCCTGCTTAGCTTCTGAGATCTGACGAGATCAGGCTTGCCTGGGCTATCCAGGTCAGGGCTGGTTAACAGTTCCTGATTGACCTCTCCTCCACTCTAAATGTGCTAGCGCAGGCAGTGGTTAGTGTCCGACCAGGATCTGGGTGTGAACCCCCACTCTGCCGCGGAAGCTTGCTAGGTGAGCGGTCATACACTCGCAGCCTGACTTACCTCACAGAGTCGTCGTGAGGATAAAATGGAGAAGCATGTAAGCCCCTTTGGGTCCCCCATTGGGAAGAAAGGCAGGGTATAAAGGGAGTAAATAAAACAGGTCTAATCCTTTTTTGTCAAACCCCTCTAAAGCCAGTAGCCATCCATGTCATGAGGCACTGAGTTCCGCCTGTTTACCTTAAAATTTCAGCCATGAGCAAAAAGTTTGCGTGGTCTAGTTCCAGGTGCACAGCCGTGTAAACACGTTAAACCCAAAGGCCCCAAAGACTACCCACTAACCTCACTTCCGCCTGTTAATGTCACGCTAGGAGAAATGGTTACCATCTGCTTACTGGTCACCAGTGAAGGGGATGGCTGGGCTCCCACCAAGCACGGCCATGGATCCCTACGGTTGTGTTATTGTTTGGTAAATGGTTGCCTGTATTTACACCCAGTGTTCCCTCTAAGCTGAGTCAGTGTGAGCTAGCTCAGTTTTTTAGCTTCCGGCTCACACGTTTTCGTCTTGGCTCAGGAAGGAAGGCTCCAGAGCAAACTGATTTATTCAGCAGCCAAATCGCTCGCTCACAACTTTAATGCCAGTAGCTCACAGAGTAGAAGTTTTGCTCACAAGACTACACAGCTTAGAGGGAACATTGTTTACACCAGCATCAAAGGGCAGCATCCCCGTACCTCGTTCATTGCCTTGGCCAGGTCCGCTTCTGCCGGTGGTAACCCCACAAGCTCTGCTCGCCGCCGGAGGGCCTCGGAGATCAGTTCGCGATGTCTCAGTATTATTTCTGTGACAATGCCAACGCTAGAGCCAACTAAGGGGGGGAAAACAGCACATCCTATTGCCGCCCCTGAAGTCTCAACTTTCCCACTGCCAGGTTACTGGCTTCAAGTTTGCAAGATATAGTTTTTTTAAACTTAGTTCTCAAGGGCCAAAAGTGCCGCAATCCAAGGGGCTTCAGGTCAACACTGGACGATGCACAGCCTAACTCACGTGAGCAACTGGCCTCCTTTACACACAGCTGGACGGATGAAGATCACTGCTGGGTTAGCCAGAAGCATCTTTTGATACAGGTGGGCAGGGGTCATTTCCCGCAGGAGCGGAGCTCCGGCAATAAAGAGCCCAGGGGGCAGGCAAATGCAACAAGCCCCACCCCCTGCTCCCAGCAGCCCTCAGTCAGAGCAAGAAGCAGCCAGGTAAATTGCAGAGCCGCCCCCAGCCCCCCGGTCCAAAACAGTCCAGTGGCACCTTTAAGACCAACTTTTATTCAGGTACAAGCTCTCTCTCCTCTGCGAGGACAGATCTGCACGCCCCCCCCCCCAATGGCTAGTAATCCAAAACAGTCCAGTGGAGCCTGGGTGTTGCCCTCTGACACACTTCCGGTGATGTCAGGGGGTGTGGCACAGGCAAATAAGTTATGCTAATGAGTTATGCTAATGAGCTCCTGCACCTCTTTTTCTACGAAATGACCCCTGCAGGTGAGGATATGAGTTTCTGTCCAGGTGTCCTCATCATTACATTGACTGGAACTGGATCGTTTCCACTACCTCCAGCTTCAGATGCCAGTTGCTACCTGATGCAAAGCGGATGAAAGAAGCTCTGCAAATGGGTCCCCAAGTTGTAATTCACTGGTACTGGAAGAAGTAGATGTCCATCATGACTAGCAGCCATTGTCCTCCATGAATGTGTCCACTCACTTTTTAAAGATACGTCTCTGACCCCCTCAACAGCTGGAGAGAATCCTACGAGTGGACTCTCTAGATATTACAGGGGTGCCGAGACTACAAAAGTCAGCACTTTACATCTTTGGCCCAAGGTTGGTAAAAAAATAATGCATGTAGGGAGGAAGGCGTTGCATTTGGGCCAGCCCGCCAGTACAGTGCACGTCTTTGTCTGTCGGTCTGGATGACTGCAGCAGGACCCAGGCCCAGTTATACACTCCGCAGAATCAAGTGGGATGGGGTCTTGCCTGTTTGAATACTCCTCCAGATAGAAAAACAGCATGCCAAGGAGCAAGCCGCAACCAACACTTTTCTGAAAAGTGAGTTTTCTGCATGCAGGGAAGCTTTTTTTTGGGGGGGGGGGGAAGCCCTTAAACATGCAGGCCCCCCCGATATTCCCCCCACCAAGCTCTACCACCCAATTTAACTGTGTATAAACTAGAGGTTCCAGATTTAACTAACAGCTGTACAAGATGGGTAGCCGACTAGCCGTGTTAGTCTGTCTGTAGCAGTAGAAATGAGCAAGAGTCCAGTGGCATCTGAAGAAGTGAGCCGTGACTCACCAAAGCTCATACCCTGCCACCTATTTTGTTAGTCTTTAAGGTGCTACTGGACTCTTGCTCTTTTTTACTGTAACAGTTGTACAATACACCCTTTTTAGACATTCACACTTTCTTTGATCTACAGCCATTAACCTCCAAATGTAGCAGCAATATGGTGTCAACAATCTCTTAGGCAGTAATACTAGTAAAAATATCCAGAAGTCACTTCTAAGGGCGTAATCTTCAACTGTCTAAGAGACAGGTGGAGGTAGCTGGCTTTTAAAAATACCCGAAAGGCAGATGGTTTGATTTTAACTAATTTTAACAAATTGATGAGTTTTAAACAAATTAGACTTGAGAGGGTGTTACTTTGATGCAGGGCTATTTTTGGGCAGGAACGCACAGGAACGGAGTTCCGGCTGGCTCCTGAGTTGGCCACACCCAGCATGAACTCATTAGCATAATAGGCCACACCCAACAGCAGAAGCTCATGAGGATTGGCTGCATTAGGGGTGTGTGGTCTAACATGCAAAGGAGTTCCTGCTACAAGAAAAACCTCTGGGTTTTGACAACAAAGTAAACAGAATAAGAAGCAAAAGGTGGGTGTGGCTGGATGACCACACTTCTGGTAACATGGGGGTGCGGCCTAATATGCTAATGTGCTATGCTGTCAAGGGTGTGGCCTAATATGCTAATGAGTGTCTGCTGTTGGGTGTGGCCTATTATGCTAATGAGTTCCTGCTGGGTTTTTTCTACAAAAAAGCCCTGCTTTGATGCATGCAGCATCACAGGATGGCTGGTGCGTACAAACCTGTTGCAGCCCAAAGACCACAAAGGGATTTTTCACAACACCTTGGGCACCACACTCTAAAGTGGAGCTAATATGCACAGCTGCACACTTATCAAAAGACAAACTTGCATGCTCCAGTGTTGGTTGAAACCGGCTCTGGGTCTCGTTTCAGAGGCATGCAAAGGAACAGCTGACTGTGGAAGACCCTTTGCCCGGCATTGTCACACTCACTGGTTTGGAAGAAGAGGTCAGCATCGGCATCCTTCTGCATCTCCTCCAGGAACTGTTTCAGAGGTGACTCCTGACCTTGCAGCGCCAGCAGCAGCTGCCAAATAGCCACTGCTGAAAGAGTCTCTTCTTCCAGGGCTGCAGAGGCCAACACCGCAAGCACTTTGGACCCGGCTACACCTGTTGCAATCTTCTCCATCACCTTAAAAACAGACAGGAACCCAGTGAGGAAGCAATTTTCAGATGGCCGCCTTAGCTACCTTGACGCCGCAAGCACTTTGGACCCGGCTATACCTGTCGCAATCTTCTCCATCACCTTCAAAACAGACAGGAACCCAGTGAGGAAGCAGTTTTCAGATGGCCGCCTTAGCTACCTTGACCCTTGAAAGGTCCTCCACTGAGATCTCACACTCTGAAGCTGCCCCGTTCCTGCTTTCCCTTCAAAGCCCACCTTGAAAGCCACCTTTGGGTTTGACGCCCAGATTCTCATGCCTTGCGTGTAATGACCCCAAGAACAAGTCACAGTTCTCGTTCATCTCCTGTCACTCATTCTTTCCCCACTGTCAGCACTGATACTGCAAGCTCCTTAGGACAGGGATCTTGTCAGGCTGAGCACCATGTACACTAATGGTGCTACATAGACAATACCTGGGTAGAGATGTTTCCCTGCAGGACAGGCTCTGCAAGGGCTCGAAGACTCATCCCACCAATATCAAAGCTCTGGGTAAACCCTGTCAGGATTTTAAGACTTCAGCTGATTGTTCCTAGAGGAGGTTCTTCACCAGGGCTTTTTTTGTAGAAAAGCCCAGAGTATCAAAGCTCTGGGTAAACCCTAAGACCTCTGTTCCTAGAGCAGGTTCTTCACCAGGGCTTTTTTGTTAGAAAAAGCCCAGCAGGAACTCATTAGCATAATAGGCAATACCCAACAACAGGAACTCATTAGCATATTAGGCCACACCCCTGACAGCACAGCTCATTAGCACATTAGGCCACACCCACATGTTACCAGAAGTGTGGTCATCCAGCCACACCCACCTTTTGCTTCTTATTCTGTTTACCTTGTTTGTTGTCAAAACCCAGGGCTTTTTTTGTTGCAGGAACTCCTTTGCATGTTAGGCCACACACCCCTAATGTAGCCAATCCGAATGAGTTTCTGCTGTTGGGTGTGGCCTGTTATGCTAATGAGCTCTTGCTGGGCGTGGCCAACTCAGGAGCCAGCCGGAACGCCGTTCCTGTGCGTTCCTGCCCAAAAATAGCCCTGTTCTTTACAATCATGAGGACTAGAAATCATCCCTCCTTCAAAGTACTGCAGAGATCCAAGGGACTGTGAGAGAGCAGTCATGCTACAGCAGAGGTGGGTTGGAACTGGTCTGTCCAGAGCTCTTATCCGGGCTGTGAGCAACTGGTCATTACCTTTCTTGCCAGATGACAGAGGCCGTGCATTATGTCCCTGTATCCTGTCCCAGTGCTAATGCGTAATGGGCGGTAGAAGTGGGAGGGTGGGCATCTGTGAGATACTTTAAGGAAATACTGTAAGAGTATTAGTGTTTTACACACGTTTGTATTTTGAGTAAAAACTAATATTGTTAATTGGGTTTGCCTGGGTTCTGCATAAAGTTCATATCTCCTGTACCTAGCATTAGGAGCTGCGGTGGCTCAAGTGGTTAAGACGCTGAACTGCAGGCTGTGGAAGGTCAGTAGTTCAGCAGTTCAAGACCCGGGTGTGCCGCATGACGGAGTGAGCTCCTGTCTCTAGTTCCAGCTCCTGCCAACCTAGCAGTTTGAAAGCAAGAAATTGCAAGTAGATAAATAGGTACCACTTCGGTGGAAAGGTAACAGCGTTCCGTGTGCCTTGGTGTTTAGTCATGCCGGCCACATGACCACGGAAACGTCTTCAGACAGCGCTGGCTCTTCGGCTTTGAAACGGAGATGAGCACCGCAACCCTAGAGTCGGACTCAACTGGCTTTCGAGCAAGGGAACCTTTACCTTTTACCTAGCATTACGTTTTATGGCATGCATGGCCTGGCCAGACAAAGTGACATTTATTTCAGATCCGGTCCTCGTAACAAATGAGTTCGGCACCTCTCTGCTAGAGAATAAAGTGTGCTTTTCATGGTCACACAGATTCTTTTCTGCCTCTTATGCAACATGGCCAACGTGCTCAGCCTCTTACTGCACAAACTGTGTCAAATGTTCCTCTTGAGTTCCGTGCCCTGGTCAGGCCAGTCGGCCTTGCTGTCATCCTTGCTCACCTCTCGGTCTCCAGCCGCCAGATGCCGCACTGCAGAGAGCTCTTTCTGCAACAGCTGGGGGTCGACAACAAATCCGGCAAGAGTGGCCTGGTGGTGTCTCAAGAGGTTCTTCCCATAGGCTTCAAGATTCCATCTGGCTGAGAGACAAATAAACGTCCCAGCAGTAGAATGTGATCCCCGATAGCAGATTTTCATAAGACAGTTACAAAGAGGGACGCCGTGCTTTGAGTACGTTTATTAAAGGGCATATTTGGACAATCTGTCAGTAGGATTTTCCTTGCCTGTCTACATTTAAGACCTATTGTGCAGTGAGCTTTAAACAACTAGATCAGCATTAGATGACTGCCAGGTTATTAAAACCCAAATGTTCTAAAGCTAAACAGATTTAAAACCTAGTTTGTACTCCGCAGTACCTGTGCCATCAGATTCGACTGCTGCTGGCTCCCAGTTGTTCAGTACATGATGTAGGCCGGGGAGTGATGCTTTCAGGGCAAATAGAAGTTTGAGCAGACTCTCTGCTTTCAGGGTTTTCTCCTCCACTGCTGCTTTTATCAGATTTTCCACAGCCTCCTTTGCTGAGCTGTTCTGACAACAGCCCAGTATCATCTACTGAGACAAGCACGCAAGTTAGAAACAAGTTCCGGGACACACAGATCCCCTCTGGCAGCACAAGTTGTCCAGAGCAAGAAGACATCACTTTTCTCCCCCCCCCCTTTCCTAGGTAAGGTTTGTTCTGCTCTAAGAGCTGGTCAAAAATGGGACATTTCCCCTTCATAGGTTTAGAAACAGGCACCAGCACTGGATTTAGGCATAATCTGCACCATCAAAATATTCATGTGCTCAAAGGCTTCTTCCAAAAGGAAATGCTGACAACATGTCAAGACTAAGGAAAGCATGTCTACCTGTCAAAACAGTCAAGTCATTTGTGAACTGATGACAAAGGCAGATGGACACGCACACACAGGTTCAAATGCACTGCGCCGGGGGGGGGGACTGCTCCCACCCCAAGAAGTCCTATTTTGCACCCTAACTGAAGCTATGCAAACTGTGACATTTATTGTTACTTGTTAAAACACATACACCCTGGCTCAAGATGGCTGACTCTGCCTAGTTTATGCTGCTTTGCCTAGCTGGGGGGGGGGGGGGGGGGCCAAAAGCTGAAGAGGATCGGAGGCCTTGCCACTTGCCCAGCAGAAACACTGTTCAGTTTTCCCCTTCCCAACAGTCATATTAGGATCCATGCAGACTGTACTACAAACCCTCCAACATGATTCCTGGTTGCATATGCACAGGGTTGGCGGAGGCCCAGGCCAGACCAAAGGCCTGCATCCTGCAATCTGCAAAGGTAGGACAGGAAAAGTGAGGGGAAAAGGCCTCAGAGAGGCTTGCAGGGGGGAGCTGCTCTGCTGCCCCTGCTTGGATCGACCCCCTTTTCACCTTGGGGGCCCTTATCCCACTGCCCCGATGTATCTGGGGAGGAAATCTGATCTTCAGCTCCAACCCTCTCACTCCCTGTAGGCCCGGAAGCCTCTGAGTTTGTATGGGGCCCAGTAGAGCTCTGCTGGGATATTTCCAGTGCAGTCGGGGGGCTGGCTGTAGAATGACCCAAAGCCTTGGGTCTGGCAGCACTGACAGAGGCCCGTGCCAGTCTCTGATGCCTGAAGCCTGAGGTGGGAGAGGCCTGCCACAATGGTCTCCCACTGATGGCGGCTTGTGGTGCTGTAGATGTTTCTGCCCTTGGCCAGTCTACGATGCCTGGAACCTCAGGCGGGAGAGGCTTATCTTAATGGTCTCTCTTTTTTTCTTTTTACAACCGGCAATGGGGCCTTTTTTCAAGTCTTTTCCGTCTTCCATACCAGTAAGGCAAGAGTCTCCAAGAAAGCGGAGCTAGGCTCAAGCGTCCTGCTGGAGTGGCAGGGCTATCAAAACTGGAGGGTCAGTCTCTCTCTGAGCCAACACAGTCAACACAAATTTGTGTAGCCCTGCCTAGAGTGAGCGGAGGCCTGACCTAACCAGTCTGGATGACTTCCCTCACTGAAGGAGAATGATGTTTCTGTAATTTTGCCTTGTCAATGATTGATTCGTTATCGCGAGTTTTCTTTTATTGTTCCAAACACACGGTCATCAGGGAGAAATAGCTTGCGAAATGGTTGTTAAAATACTCAGACACTTCTGTTTCTGAGTGGCTTTTGTAAAGCTTGCACAGTTGATGTGGCTAAAGTTTACTTTGCTGTTGTTTTAAATTCTTAAATATTTTTCTTGGTGTATGCTTATGGGCTATTAAACCTGAACAAGGGCAGTCTTATTTTGCAGCCACAAAGGCTAGAAATTTGTTGTTTTTTTTTAAAGGATGTTGATTTCTACACTCAGTATCAAACTGCACAGGGTATGGCATAACAAGAGAACACACACGCAAACCTTGAAATATACCTACCAGGGCTCTTTTTGTAGAAAAAGCCCAGCAGGAACTCATTAGCATAATAGGCCACACCCCAGACAGCACAGCTCATTAGCACATTAGGCCGCACCTAAGTGTGGTTATCCAGCCACACCCACCTTTTGCTTGTTATTCTGTTTACCTTGTTTGTTGTCAAAACCCAGGGCTTTTTTGTAGCAGGAACTCCTTTGCATGTTAGGCCACATACCCCTACTGTAGCCAATCCTAATGAGTTTCTGCTGTTGGATGTGGCCTATTATGCTAATGAGTTCCTGCTGGGCGTGGCCAACTTGGGAGCCAGCCGGAACTCCGTTCCTGCCCAAAAATAGCCCTGCCTAAAACAGCCTATTTAAAACCAGACTGAGAATTCACACATTCTACTCCTTCCCCCAGCCTCTGGCCTCCTACTGTCTAATCGCTGACCATAAGAAAATGGCTGAACATCATTTCCGACAACCCTGGTGTCCAGGTTTTAGAAAGGCCCTGGGCTTCTCATAAGTGTAGGGCATCCATGACCAAGGGTGGGCAATCTGGTGGCCCTAGGGGGTGGATTGCTAGACCCGGGAGATCCAAATTCAAATGCCATGTTTGGCAACAAAAGTCACTCAGGGGGCTTGGGCAACCCACTATGGCTCAGCTTAATCACTCTGCGTGGCTGTTGTGAGGACAACTTCAAAACTCCCCCTCCCACCCAGGCGTCACTCTGAGCTCCTTGAAGGAAAAGCAGGATCAAGAAAGCAGACCAGAGCAAACCACCTTGCAAGCACGTGGCTGAGACACACACACACACACACACACACAACCTCTGAACATTTCCCCTTTCCTCCTGTATACCTGCTTTTCAGTCTCAGGAAGGAAATCCTCCTCTGCTTTTCCCAAGAGATCTCGGATGGGCCCCAACTCAGTCACGTTCTGAACAAGCTCTTCCCTTCTTTTCTGAAGCAGAGCAGCTGCAACCTTCTTCTCTCCTGAGCTTCCTGGTCAAACAGAAGGAGGAGGAAAGGTTGGGGGTGCAAGGAGAAGGGTGGGGGTGGGGTGGGTCAGACCTCTCTGGGCTAAGAGTCAACTGGAGCCTAGGTACAAAGAACCCCCCACAAATACTGTGGCAGGAAT